TTCCTTTTCTAGTTCTATCCAGTTTTTGTTCATTCTTCTCATGTCTGTCTCCACTTCTCGGCGTAATGTGTTCTTTGGTCTTCCTCCTCTCCTGTGACCTTCAGGATTCCATGTGAGGGCTTGTCTTATGACACAATTAGCTGATTTACTCAAGGTGTGCCCAATCCACTTCCATCGCTTCTTCCTGATTTCTTCCTCTGCTGGAATCTGGCTTTTTGTCTCCCACAGTGACTTATTACTGATAGTGTCTGGCCATCGGATCCGAAGTATCTTGCGTAGACAGCTATTAATAAACACTTGTATCTTATGGATAACGGCTTTCGTCGTTCTCCACGTCTCCGCCACATACAGTAGAACTGTATTCACATTTGTATTGAAAATTCTAACCTTAGTGTTGGTTGACAATTGTTTTGAGCTCCAGATGTTTTTCAGCTGTAGGTATGCTGCTCTTGCTTTGCCGATCCTCGCCCTCACATCTGCATCTGATCCACCGTGTTCATCAATGACGCTGCCTAGATATGTAAAGGTTTCCACATCCTCCAAAGCTTCTCCGTCAAGTGTAATTTGATTGGTGCATATTGTATTGTATCGGAGAGTCTTGCTTTTCTCTTTGTTTATATTGAGACCTACTGCTGCTGAGGCTGCTGCTACACTGGTCGTTTTCTCCTGCATTTGTTGTTGCGTTTGTGATAGAAGAGCCAGATCATCCGCGAAGTCTAAATCGTCAAGCTGCATACTGCCTGTCCACTGTATCCCGCGATTTCCTGCAGATGTTGACGTCTTCATGATCCAGTCAATAACCATTAGAAAGAGAAAGGATGAGAATAAGCAACCTTACCTTACACCGGTCTTTACTTCAAACGAGTCGGTGAGTTGTCCTCCGTGGACGATTTGGCAGTTTAGTGCATCATAGGAGTTCCGTATGATATTTACTATCTTATCAGGCACGCCGTAGTGTCGAAGAAGCCTCCATAGTGTCGTCCTGTCCACGCTATCAAATGCCTTCTCGTAGTCGATGAAGTTGATGTACAGTGATGAACTCCATTCGATTGATTGCTCCACAATGATCCGCAGAGTTGCGATTTGATCTGTGCACGATCTATCCTTACGAAATCCAGCTTGTTGATCTCGAAGTTGGGCGTCCACGGAATCCTTCATCCTATTTAACAATACTGGGTTGAAGACTTTTCCTGGAATTGAGAGGAGAGTGATGCCGCTGTAGTTGTCGCACTTGCTAGAATCGCCTTTCTTTGGTATTTTGATTAGTAGTCCTTTCTTCCAGTCTATTGGTACTTGTTCTTCGTCCCAAATCTTACTGAAGAGAATGTGGAGTATCTTGGCAGTTGCTGTTACATTTGCTTTCAGTGCCTCTGCCGGGATGTTGTCTGGTCCCGCTGATTTACCACTCTTGACTTGTCTAATGGCCATGCTGATCTCTTCAATTGTTGGTGGGCCAATATCGATTGGGAGGTCTGTGGGTGCTGCTTCGATGTTGGGTGGGTTCAGTGGAGCTGGTCGATTCAAGAGTTCTTCGAAGTGTTCTACCCACCTGTTTCGTTGTTCTCCAATATCGGTGATTACTTTGCTTTCCTTGATTTTTACTGGTCTTTCTGGTTTACGGTAATTTCCAGCAAGCTTCTTTGTTGTGTCATACAGTTGTCTCATGTTTCCCTCTCTTGCAGCCTTTTCCGCTGTCATCGCTAAATCTTCCACATATTTACATTTGTCGGTTCTGATGCTCCTCTTCACTTGTTTGTTTGTCTCTGTGTATTCGGCTTGTGCCTTGGTTTTTCTGCTTTTGTTCGGCTGATATTGATTGCTGCCTTCTTGTTCCTCCTTGCTTCAATCTTATCCAATGTACCAACAGTGATCCATTCCTTGTGATGGTGCTTCTTTTGGCCCAGAACCTCTTGACATGTTGAAACGATTGCCTCCTTGATATCTTTCCAGTTGCTCTCCATGGTAGTCCACTCTCCATTGAGTAGATCATGAAAGGCCTCGAACTTGTTGCTGAGGGCTTTGTTGAATTTGTTGAGTTTGTCTGCATCTCGAAGAAAGGCCGTGTTAAACTTTTGTGATGTTGTCCGCCCCGTTGTCCAGTGCTTCTTGAGTTTTAGTTTCATCTTGGCGACCAGCAAATGGTGATCGGATGCTATATCAGCTCCTCTTCTGGTTCTCACATACTCCATCGTCCACCTGTACTTTCTGTTGATGCAGATATGGTCGATTTGATTCTGTATAGTGTGATCCGGTGAAATCCAAGTGTCTTTGTGTATGTTTTTGTGTGGGAATATGGTGCCACCGATGACCAGTTTTTTGAAGGCACATAGGTTTGCAAATTTCTCACCATTTTCGTTCCTTCCTCCCAGTCCATGTTGTCCCATGACGTCCTCGTATCCAGTGTTGTCCATTCCAACCTTAGCATTGAGATCTCCCATCAGAATTATCAGGTCCTTGGTTGGGCACTTCTCGATGATCGACTGCACCCTATCATAGAATTGGTCTTTAGCGTCTTCATCGTAGTCATTGGTAGGCGCATAGCATTGGATGACGTTCATTGTAATGCCCTCTCTCTTTGTTTTGAAGGAGGCTTTGAGGATACTTGGTCCATAAGATTCCCATCTAATAAGTGCATTTTGTGCTTTTCTGGATAGCATCAATGCAACTGCTTGTGTATGTGGGGCATTTTCTTCTTCATGACCGGAGTATAACAGAAGTTCTCCTGAAGACAGTCGTTGTAGTCCAACCTGCGTCCAATGTGTTTCGCTGATTCCAAGAACCTCCAGGTTGTATTTTCTCATTTCTGCAGCAAGTTGGAAGACTCTTCCGGTCTCCCACATTGTTCGGACATTCCCTGTACCTATAAAATTTGTCGCTCTGGTTGTAAGAAGGTGCATCGGCCTCATGACTTCCGAAGGAACTCGGCTTTCATCATGAGACGTCATAATTATTCCTTCTACTCTCAGGGCAGAGTTTGAAATGTTTGAATGATTTTTTCTGGTTAGCGTTTTTTTAGCGAGTTGATTTTCTACAGGATGGGGTCGCTAACCCCATGCCCAACCCTCCTCCTTTACCCGGGCTTGTGATCGGCAGTAACCCTCGGAGGAGCTACAGTCGGGTTACAAGGCAACTGCTAACATGTAATCGTGAAATGAAACAGAAAAGAGGAAGACCGAAGAACACGCTACTTCAGGAATTGGGAAGAGACATGAAAAGGATGAATATCAACTGTAGACAATTGTAAATGATTGTGAAGGACACAGTTGGATGAAGAATATTTGTGGATGGCTTATACTCCTCAATGAAGGGTAACATGATGTAAAATCATCCGACGAGACTATAATTTATGGACGACCTTTGAACGAATCTTAAGTGACTTTGACAAATGTTAGTCAATCAGTAAACAGTCAGCATGGAGTACAAATATATTATACAAAAACCAAATAATTAAAGTGGATAAACTTCTTTTATATGGTCCAAAATCTTGTCAAGGTTAGAAAAAGGTTCAAAGGTAGAGGAACTCATCCATATGGCTCCATAATAATTGGTCTCTGGAGCCATGATAAGGTCTTAAAAACCCTCTCAGCCTCGACTACATAACTTTATTATTTTTTGTGTGTACTACGGTTGTGTGAGTTTATCATTTTTCTTATGGATATGTTCCTACAATACTCATACCTGTTGAACAGCCAAAGATTCAGTAACATCTGCGATTATTGCAGTCAATGTTATTGGTGCTTTTATTATACAATTTACGGCATTCATTATAATATGCCTTAGTCTCAATCTTGATCGAGCAAGAAAGGTTCCTATTCTAGCAAACGTCTTCCTTCAACATATATTACATCGAAGGACAACATCACGGTAGTCTGCACAAGGTCTACGAGTCATTTAATACCCGCAATTACAAATACACGAACTTCTTAGTAGTCTCATTTGTTGTAACCGCTTAATTGTCAAATCTTCTCTAAAATTCTTTGTGAACCGATCGTATATGAGCATCAGGTACTGAAATTGGCGCCGCAACCTTGAAATCCCTCAAAAACGCTTCTGGTTGGCTCGTCCATAAACTATAGTCTCGCCAACTTTCCTTATAAAATTGTTCAATCTTTACAATATCATCTAAATTATAGTCTATTTTGAATGTTTTCATCTTCTTTATAAAGAGGACGGTTGTTTTAATCATGAAAATATAAACATTTCACTAGTTTAATTGTCAATAGTTCTGTCTTTATTGTTTGTTTTTCCCTCCTTCTTTTTTTCTTTTTTTTGTTATTTAATAAACTTTGAAAAATAGAATTCGTTTTTTTCCCCATTTTATGATTGATTATGATAAAACAAAAAAGAGTGTGTGTGAGAGAGAGAGTGTGTGTGAGAGAGAGAGTGTGTGTGACAATGCTGGTCGGTGGCCTATGCTCCATTAGGAGTGACAGGCGTAATTGAAGTAAGTGGGTGTGTGTGTGTGAGAGAGAGAGAGTGAGTGAGTGAGATAGAAAGAGAGAAAGGAAAAGAGAAGGAGTGAAAGAGAGAAAAGTTCAAAAGTGATAAAAAAATAAACGAAAAAAGAAAGAAAACAAGAATTTTTTCGTTGAAATATTAATTAAATGGATGATATAATATCCAAATGAAGTTTCTTAAAAATGTTGAAATCATGAGTCAATTGAAGCAAGACCACTAACGAAAACCTAGAAGCACTAGACGGCCGTTTTGTCCAATTGTGGGACTACTTAGCAACGCGCATCCACGATTCCGCACTCGCGAGAATCGAACTCAGGACCTACCAGTCTCGAGCCAGAGTACTTAACCGATAGACCACTGAGCCGGCCGGTATCCAACGGTGTTAATGTCTAACTTCAACCAATCCACGACATATGAGCGACCATTCACCAATTGTCTTCAGTGAATTGTTCACATATTTTATCACCATTTGAATCACATTTAAATTTGGTATGATTCTCATTTACTTGACATACTTTAGTACAATCATTACCATAATGATTTCATTCACATGTTAATTGAATACAAAATGTATAATCAGAATATTGTGTGGATATAGTAACTTGATGCCAATCTGTGGAGAGATTTAATGATTTCCTTGAAGAAATTAATGGACGTAATAGACCACGATGTATAGCTCGATCAATTAAATACTTCTCATTACGATTCACTAAATCATAAGCTTCTAATATAACTGTGAATAAACGCTGAATTAAAAGAGAATAAACAAAGAGAAGGGGAATATTATTGAAAGAAATGCATTCATAGCAGTATAGATGAATACTTATAAAGTTGATTATCATATTTGATGTGTGAAGAATTTTTAATTCAATGTTGGACGGCAAAGTCCAACTCATACGTCCTCGTTGTACCTCCTGAATCATGGGACTGTTTTCATGAACTAACGTGAGCGGTGACCCGGGTGGTGGAGATCGGCCTAATCAACCACTCTACCAATACACGAGAACGATTACGAATACTACATAGAGTCATTGCATAATTACTGAGGGTTCAAAAGAGTGGTAAAATAAAAATGGGTCTGCCCAAACAAAAACAAAAGACAAAAAAAGGGTTGTGAGATTTATGTAACGTTTCTGCGTAAGCAGTGCAGAAAGAGCTATCCTGCCCCTGTAGTTTTGCCGTGCTTCGATGTAGTACTCTTCTCCAGAAGGGCCTACTAGGCTTCACCATTCCATATGGCTGGAAGGGGTAAGTCAATGTTAGTTATATGTCCATTTCCATTCCATTTGGTTTCTATTAATTCCTTTCTAGAAAATTTATCACTGTCTTGACATCATTTAAAGAATCTCTGAAATTACATCCCTATTCTTCAAAATAATCTTTTTTTTTTAATTTGATGTGTCCTGATAACTAAATGTTATCAGAAGGGAGTTTTATGGAGATTTCAGTAATTTTATATAGTTCAGATCATGAGTCAATTGAAGCTAGACCATCATGGAAAACCTGGAAGCACTGGACGGCCGTTTCTTTCTATTATGGGACTCCTCAGCAGTGCATATGCATGATCCCGCACTCGCCAGATTCGAACCCAGTCTCGTGCCAGATCACTTAACCAACAGACTACTGAGCCAGCATCCAACGATCTTAATGTATAACCTTCCAGGTTTTCCATGGTGGTCTAGCTTCCATTGACTCGAGATCTCATCTATAAAATTACAGAAATCTCCACGAAACCCCCTTCTGATATCTTAAATCTGATTGGTTTGTTAATAAATCATACTTTGAATATATAGTAAGAAAGTTTGTAAAGATTTATGCTTAGTGTGCCACTAAGTTGGTATGAAGCTAAGTTACTTTTCACCACTAAGCATGAAACAATTGTGTCGACTAGGTTTGATGTACTCATAATGAAGTAACATTTAGTCTTAGTAATAAGCTGATTAATTTAGAGTATATTGTGGATTAGATGCATGAATAAACATTCTTTGATAATACTTCAGGGTGAATTAGGCATGACTAGATATAGTCTCGAATAGGGAATATGAATGTATATTTGAACATATTTTAGTGTTAGCAACAGTCATATGAGAAGGGATTACCTAACAACAGATTAAGTGGACACATATATTTTTTATGATTCAGTGTTTATTTACTATCGGACTACTTTTTATGAAGTGATCGAGTTATTACAAACTATAACACCTAATTAATAATCCACTTTCTTATTGGTTGTTTGAATCTTTCCATTGATGTTTAAGACTACATCCTGTGAGGATCGCCTTATGTCAAAATAATTATAAGCAGAAATGATGGTGGCTAGCAGTGGAATCCATGACGCGCACTTCATCCTATTTCGGATTCGTCAGGTGGATGTACTTGCATGTCAGAGTTTATGTTCAGTTCAGGACTGGAACTCGATATTGTTTACTTAAATCATCATCACGTTATCCAATTAGCTAATGAGTCCAGATAGCCAGTAGCTCATGCTACAGGATAAAGTTTAATTCATTTTTATATTAGCTATCTAGAATCGGACGTTAAGTGGAAAACACGATGGTATTTGACGCGAACGGTACTGGGTCTGAGTCTCGAAGTGAACATCAACTCTAGGATGTACGTACATCCAGTTGATGAATCCCGAGTAGGACGAAACTCACATTCTGCATTCCATTGTTAGCCACCATCACCTCTACTTATAATCTAATAACTAGTTTTTTTTTCCTTCTTCTAAATCGATAAATATTTATCTAAGAACATTTGTGAGGTTATGTGTATGTAGTTTGAGTATGATTTTCTTCATATAATCAAAATGGATTGAATAATTTTTAAAGGCCAAGGTAACTTAAAAATATTCCTGTTTTAAAGATAATCAAAACTGAAATTTTACGTATACGGAGATGAATGAACCATTTTATCAAATTATTGATGTTGAAAAATGTGTATTGTACCGTTGGTAACTCAGTAATTTAAATATACCGTGGTTACTAAGATACTTGAAGCTTACGGGTACAATATACCATATGACTACGAGTATTAATTGCTGAGAAATCCTAAAACAAGACGAATCAGCTAACCAATACTTCTCTTGTCTTCAAATATTCTATAGCTACTATTCATTCATAATGGAATTCTCTTGAAAATTATAACTAAGCATATTTTCATACTTATCAGTAGACAATCTCATGCCCCCCCAAAAAAAAACACTATTATTTTTTCCGTTATACATCGCAGACTAATCTTATTTCGACAGTCATTAAAAACTAGAGAACACTAAACAATTCATTCCTTTTAGTATAATTGCTCTAAATATTAAACATTCACTATTCAATCATTATTGAATTCTATAGTTGAAATCATGAGTCAGTTGAAGCTAGACCACCATGGAAAACCTGGAAGTGCTGGACGGCTGTTTCGTCCCACTTTGGGACTCCTCAACATTGCGCGTCCTCATTCCCTCAATCATGATTTAAACTCTGGACCTATCAATCTCACTCGCGAACGCTTAACCTCTGGATCACTGAGCCGGTCAGCACCCAACGGTGTGAATGTCTAAATTCAACCAATCCACGAAGTTCAGAAATCGTTCACCATTGTCTTCATTGAGTTACTATCACACAACTGATCTGGTTGAATTCCACTGGTCATTGCTTTTTATTAGAACTCTAGGAAATACCTCTTAATTTCAAGAGTTTCAGGTCTTACAACAAGCCTTTAACCTTCTTCAAAACACCAAGTTAACATCGATTCTCTTCCATTTATTCAATTACTGGTCATTGCTTCTTATTAGAACTCTAGGAAATACCTCAATGTTACATGAGGTCAGTTTTGGCCTAAGAAAGTCATAAAATCTCTGAATGAAATGCTAGATGAAAGGAGTTCGACCAGATTACTTACTCACTTACTTACGCCTGTTACTTCTCATGTCTGTCTCCACTTCTCGGCGTAATGTGTTCTTTGGTCTTCCTCCTCTCCTGTGACCTTCAGGATTCCATGTGAGGGCTTGTCTTATGACACAATTAGCTGATTTCCTCAAGGTGTGTGGAGTATCTTGGCAGTTGCTGTTACATTTGCTTTCAGTGCCTCTGCCGGGATGTTGTCTGGTCCCGCTGATTTACCACTCTTGACTTGTCTAATGGCCATGCTGATCTCTTCAATTGTTGGTGGGCCAATATCGATTGGGAGGTCTGTGGGTGCTGCTTCGATGTTGGGTGGGTTCAGTGGAGCTGGTCGATTCAAGAGTTCTTCGAAGTGTTCTACCCACCTGTTTCGTTGTTCTCCAATATCGGTGATTACTTTGCTTTCCTTGATTTTTACTGGTCTTTCTGGTTTACGGTAATTTCCAGCAAGCTTCTTTGTTGTGTCATACAGTTGTCTCATGTTTCCCTCTCTTGCAGCCTTTTCCGCTGTCATCGCTAAATCTTCCACATATTTACATTTGTCGGTTCTGATGCTCCTCTTCACTTGTTTGTTTGTCTCTGTGTATTCGGCTTGTGCCTTGGCTTTTTCTGCTCTTGTTCGGCTGATATTGATTGCTGCCTTCTTCTTCCTCCTTGCTTCAATCTTATCCAATGTACCAACAGTGATCCATTCCTTGTGATGGTGCTTCTTTTGGCCCAGAACCTCTTGACATGTTGAAACGATTGCCTCCTTGATATCTTTCCAGTTGCTCTCCATGGTAGTCCACTCTCCTATGAGTAGATAATGAAAGGCCTCGAACTTGTTGCTGAGGGCTTTGTTGAATATGTTGAGTTTGTCAGCATCTCGAAGAAAGGCCGTGTTAAACCTGAAGACAGTCGTTGTTGTCCAACCTGCGTCCAATGTGTTTCGCTGATTCCAAGAACCTCCAGGTTGTATTTTCTCATTTCTGCAGCAAGTTGGAAGACTCTTCCGGTCTCCCACATTGTTCGGACATTCCCTGTACCTATAAAAATTGTCGCTCTGGTTGTAAGAAGGTGCATCGGCCTCATGACTTCCGAAGGAACTCGGCTTTCATCATGAGACGTCATAATTATTCCTTCTACTCTCAGGGCAGAGTTTGAAATGTTTGAATGATTTTTTCTGGTTAGCGTTTTTTTAGCGAGTTGATTTTCTACAGGATGGGGTCGCTAACCCCATGCCCAACCCTCCTCCTTTACCCGGGCTTGTGATCGGCAGTAACCCTCAGAGGAGCTACAGGCGGAGTTAGTTCGACCAGATTATAGGCAGCAATTTCCTAAAGATTTTGAATTTACCATAAATAATGAATGTCAACCAAAAGGAAGTTTAGTTAACGTAGGGTTTTCTCCTTCCTATCATTCAACATGAATTACATTAATATCTACTAGTTAGAATAGTTATTTCTGTATTATGATTTCGTCATCACTACGAAAAGTCAGAATAAAGATTTAGTAACTGATTCATTTGTATATTACACTTGTACTACTACTATTACTATTACTGTGGTGTACGCCACTGATGTTTACATATATAAGTAGTATGTATCACAAATCAAAAGTGGAATGTCTAGTGGAAGAAGGTTGAGAAAATAGAAGAGAAGTGGACGAGAACAGTGAATGATTGATATGGAAACAAATGAACGACAAGGTCTGAGACACTCAATAGACATTTTGTAAATCAATTATTTACTGTATGGTTCTCAGATTTTGCTAAGATATTCTGTAATTTTGTGCTAAAATACATTTAGTTGTACCCACTTGTGTTCCCCTTCGCTAGTACTACTACTACAATTATTACTACTACTACTACTACTGCTAGTACTAGTACTTCTACTACTAATACTACTACTCCTACTACTACTTCTATTACTACTACTAATGATAATAATAATAATAGTCCTCTATCA